GTAGAAAAGAGAATACTGTCGATATTAATAAAAAATCAAACCATCTTTGAAATGAGCTGTTTGATATTGTCAAAGATTGAGTATCAACTTGGTAACATAATAAATCAGTATCCTCTGCAGAAAAACTACTACTAAGGTTTAGCAAATTAAAGTCTAAGAATTTGTTGGGACCAAAAAATACGTATCAATGAAAGGTGTGTTCCGGGTATCGGTTCAATTCTTTCATAATGTTTGAACTCTATACACGATTATGATCAATTGTCATAATTACACCAACAAATGTTATATATTTCATTGAACTAATTACGTAGTATTAAAGTCTATGACATTCACAAAAAAAACTGTTTTCTTTTCATCAAAATTGACATAAAAACTATCGAAGATTTCTATCTTCAGCTCTAATAGTCAAATAATCTTTTAAGCAAGATTACACCGTTCGAATCATGGCAGAATACGAGCCAATGGATAATCATATATATAAAGGCCTTTCACACATTTTAATTAATAGAGATGTTGTAAAAGGACTAATGATTTAAGACTTTTTTCATCATCTCAACATGCTCTAATCATGTCAAAAGAGCATTTTTGTTTAATCATAAGATTCGAACATCAATTCGCTAGAAAACTACGTATGTTCATTAATGAAAGGCTATTTAATTTATATACATGTTTTCACTTAACACAGAAGGACAGTTAAACATATGCAGATTTCTAACGAATGAGAGAACTTCACGAGGTGATAAATCGCTTTTCTATTCGAACTAGTTTCATTATGTAGACCACGGTGTATAGTTTGCCATTTAGCCTTTCATATCTCCGTCAAAATACATCCGATTGCACTGTTATTTTCACTATGACTAGTGTGAATGGTGATCAACTAGTTCTGAAAGTGTGAGCTTTAATACCCATGAACTTGTTGAAATACGAATAGCTCGATTTTTTTTTCGAGAAACCCGGTATTGAATGTAGTCCACTGTTTCCCGATGGAAGCTTTGATCGAGCTGATACTGTTACTGTATATCCCTCACTTCATTACCTATATACGTGAAAAGTTTCAGCGCTTTGACTTGTCTATGACAGGAGATAAAAATTCCTCTCTATTGTTAAGAATTTTCGTTTTTCTTATGTGGAACGATATTATGATAAAATCGAAAAAAAAACCATTCATTTAAGTGTGCCCTCATCCACTTCTTCTTCATTGGTCACTTCACGCTTCGTAACACATTGAAAAAAGACATGACTTTGACTATTCAAAAATGTTTTCCTGTAGTACGCTAGACTGACTTTTGTAATTTTGCGAGAATATATATCACATTTGTGTTTGAGAATCAAAATTCAAGTGTCAGAAGCTATAAATTCAACAAGAGACATTATTTCATGGTCATTGTGGGGCCCATCACGTTAAGTCTATATCGTGAACAAGTCGAAGACAGTCACGAGCTCGCTCGAATTTTTCGTAGACAAAACTCTCGATTTCACCTCCTTCGACACAGGTACGAAATCGAGTCAAATAGTACTGGTATGAAACTCGTCTGAACTGATGTTTTACTTTCTTTCAATTGTGTCACCGTTTACCAGTTTTCTGATCAATATCATCATAGTATTCTACGGCGTATTTCATATATGAAAGAAAGAAGTTCTCGAAGACGGGTGTTTCTGCATCTTCTTTCTCGTTGTCTAAGTTAGTGTTTGAATTATCCGAGTCTTCTTCACAACCATGAATAGATGTGGGTGTGAGTATTAGTATTGTCTTCACTTACACTCTCAATATGTACAAAGTATTAACAACAGTGTCATTCTTTCAGTTGTTTATAATATGTATATTTTTATTTGTAAAATGAAAGGCAAAAGCAACTTTAGAAGCAGCGAGTTAAAGCGAAAAATAGTTCATTGTGTGTAAAGAATATGTAAACAAAATAGCAAGATGAATAAATATAGAAAATATTCGCAAGCGTAAATAGATGACATGCCACTATCTAATGGTGTACTTGATGGGATAGATGACGTTGATAAAAATGATGAATTAAATGAATAATCTTCCGAACATTCACGTTCGAATTGGTTGTGAGGCAATGTTAAATCATCAAGCTTGATATGATGATTAAACAGGAAGCAGTTAGCTAAACGTTGATCACCAAAATCCTGGCATAAACACATGTGAATTTCATCATAAAAGCAAGATATATTTAATGAACGATTCTGACATGGTAAATGATAATATTTAATTCGTTGAATGAGATGTATTTGAATCATGCTTTCAATAAATATTTCATTTATAGATCGACAACGATCGGATGGATCAATATTTCGAACAATAACTGATGAATAGTCGTCTACTTTTTTATTAGCAATCAAGTAGTATTGGAATGGTGAAAGTTCGACAAAAGCAATCTGAAATGGATATGACCAATAACTAATACTTGAAGTTTTATTTTCACATATTTTTGTGGGATTTTTGTTGTGCATATGTAAAGCATGATGGAAAAAATAGATGAAATGAACAAATACGAGTGATTGCGAAGACAAATTAAGATTGTTGTGGAATGAAAGAATAATTTGGTTATCAGGTACTTCGCATCTTTGTCCATAGAATCCTTTTCGACAGATGCATATATATGGTCGATGAGATGCACTATGTTCATCAGAAGGTATACATACGCCTCCATTAAAACATGGATCGTGTTGGCATACGGTTTTAGTTAATAAACATTCAGAACCAAACTTGTTAATATGACATACACATATCGATCGATTATTTGCTGCAATACCAACACATAATGAATCAGATGAGCAGGTGCATATTTGAGGAATAGTGCAGTATCGTCCCGTCCAACCTAATTTACATTGACAAAAACTAACATTTTCCGAATCATTTAAATATCGAATACATTCACCATGAATGCATTGTTGATTAGTACAAGTTTGGACAATATTATTTGCATGTGGAATATTAAGTTGAACAGCAAT